AGAAATGTCATCAGTTTTATTCTAACAGTTTCAGTTCCTTCCAGAATGAGCCGTTTCGGGACTCTATCCTTTTAAGAAAACAAGTTGTTGCTGGCCACACCCACCCATCCCCTGCTCAGGCTGCTATTGGCTGAGAAGCTCAGATATACATGCTGGAGGGGCTCTGAGGAGAGCCACTACTCCTCCAGCAGCAGCTCTCTCTTGCATGTGAGTGGTGGCTCTATACTAATTTCCCTATTTGTGACATCACAAACGAGGACTTTTTGAAACTGTTCATTTTAGGAACATAATTCCTAAAACTGAACACAGACAGAAAACTGACTGGCTTTTTAATTTCTGGAGTGTTTATAGATGCAGAGACTCACATGGCAGCACAAATGGATGCATAAGGGGAGTTTTGCCTAATCTTCAACTTCAAACAAACATGGGAGAAAAATAGAAAAGCTGTGTGTGAAAAAGTAAGTGCAACTCATGATCCAACAGCTAGAACCTCTCATGCATAAATGAACTGATAATTTTCTTCATGAGACTCTCACACTGGTAGTGTGTTTACACACAAATGATCCACACCAGCAAAAACCTTCCTTTTCTAAAGGTGATCCCACTGTCCCCTTTTTTAGAACCACCAAAAAATGGTCCGTTTTGTTTTGTTTATGCTTTCTCATTACTGACATGGTATCATTTGTAGTGGGATTAATTTTTACATTTGAAGTAAGATTTAAATCTTCCTGGACCTTGCAAAGGGCCAGATTCTGTTCTGATCTGTGAAACTCAGGTTCATAATGAGGGGATATTTTGTTTTTACCATGACTCTATTTGCACCTCTCTTATCTACCTGCAAGTATGAAATGAATAATACATCTGGAACAAACTCGTTCCCAGACAGACCACCCCGTCCCCCAATATTTACTGAAATGTATAATTTTGAGATTCAGCTTGCTTTGCCCATTACTTGATGAATATGTTATGGAAATGCATAAGAAAGCAGCTTCCAGACCTCATCTGGTTACCAAATCAGTCTCCACAGCATCTCTGTGGTTTGAAGCGCGGCTGTGCTGCAACACTTCTCAAGCTTCTTTAATTCTCATCATTTTGCACAATGAAATTTCTTTTTGTTTCATCTCTTAGTTACTCATTAAGAACATGACCATCTGAGACCAGAATTAGCTTCTGTAATGTGCTCTTCAGTGAATATGGCGATGGTTTGATTCAGAATAACTGGTCTCTGAGCCAGAGTTTCAGTGCTACTGCAGCGACAATTTAAATGGAGCGGTCTTCTGTTGGTCCAAATTCCTACTGTGAGTATTGATTATGTCGCACTTTCAAATAAAACACTGATATGTGAAGAGGATCGGAGGAAAGGATTTTAACCCCAAGGCATTTTATCTGATTCACACAAATCCCTCCAGCTGGTAAAAGTCATAAATCATCTGTTTTCTTTATTATTTTCAACTCTCCCTTGTGGACGGTCTTATTTTGGCCAGAGGTGTTCTGTCTCTTTTTGTCGTCCTTTGCCGTTCTTCAGCAGGCCATTCGAAATGTAAAACAAGAATGTGATATAATGCAAAAACAAATAAGGAAGAAGAAGTGACATGCAGCTTTAGTTAAGAAACTAAAAGTCCACTGCAACAGCCTCTGAGCTCTTCTAGATCTTCTTCCACTGAGTGGTAATAAGGTGTCAAGCAATCTGTCCGGTTGTAAGAGATTTGGCAGAAGCTGTGAAAAAAAACAACCTCTCTGCCCTTTTTCCTGCCTGCTGCAATCTATGCATTTACTGGCAAGTCAGGTAAGGTCAGTGTCACTTTAAAACTATTACAGTTGAAATCAGGCAGTTAAAAAATAATGATGCAGGGGAGGACTTTGGACTGAAAATGACGAGTGCCTCAGAGGACGAACAGACTAGCACACATGGATAAATATAACAAAACACTGATTGTTGTTAAGCTACATGGCAATATAGAGATGTATTTACCTTGGATTCTGATAAAACGGTTACATGACCTCAACAATAGCGATAAATCATAAAGACAAACCCTCCCTTTGGAACAGAACACGGGTTACTCAGCCCAAAATACCCAGAGTTCCTTTTATAAGCTGTTTATTGCAGCCTAGATTTTATTTTGATTTTTGTTCTAGCAGGATATCAATCATCTCATATACAGATGTGGGGTCTAGATTTATATTAATTCCTGTATTCTTTTACGATTTTCACCAAAGGGAGTGACACTCCAATTTCTCTGTACCTTGTACAACAACACTCTTCTCTTCTCTTCTCTTCTCTTCTCTTCTCTTCTCTTCTCTTCTCTTCTCTTCTCTTCTCTTCTCTTCTCTTCTCTTCTATTCTATTCTATACTGACTTTTGACTGTATTGCACATTATTTATATAAACAGGACTCTGAGTGCTATCTTTGCACACATTTATTGAAAATCTTCAGCTGCATAAATTTAAAGGACCTGAAGGATGGTGTGGTTAGTGTGAATCCACAAAGCATTACTTAGCTGTTTAGTTTTTGTCAATAGACAACAGATGTGATTTTAATTATTGCGCCACTCACAGACATCTGACAGATCTCCAGTCTGGTTGCTATCGCGGCACACCCATCTTGTGATCAAATGTTCGAACAGGCATCCAAAAAACAAACTGGCAGCTGTTGAGCCACGTCGTGTCAATCAGCAGACACTCATCTTAAAACACATCTCCTGGAAAATCGCTATGTGCCGGTCTACATTTTTTGTTCCAGTTTTACTTCAATATTTGGACTCAGATGCGACAAATGAGTGACTCATACAAGCTGTGATGTTTGAGTGCCAAGAATAATAGCATCATCTAGATAAAAACTTTATTTATAAATAGAGAAATGGAGGGTTAAGTATTTTTCACTTGACTTTTCGTCTTTTACAGGTGAAGCCTTTTAGCACCATGAGGAAGCTTTGTGTTGACTTTGTCATAAATGTTCTCACTTTGCTTTCTATTCCTCTACCAGAAAGTTCAAAGGCATAAAAAGCTGCAAATCAATGAGGAAACCTACAATTAAGCTGTGGTCAGCCAGAAACTATGCTAAAATAGAATTTATGCTACTACCGTAATTAAACCAAAACGTAAGGATCCTGGGGCTTTTACTGTGCTGAAATCGAGGTGCCTGTGGGTGAGGTAGAGGCACAGAAAAAGGTTTTATTGCCTTCAACTTGCACAGCATTGTAACTGCTGTGGGAGCGGCAGATGGAGAGATCTGTGACAAACATATAATGTAAATTTAAAACCTGAAAAAGAAGTGTTCAGATCTGATGGCGAAGGCAAAGGAGAAGATGGCAATGATCATCTTAATGACGCCGTCCACAACGGTTACATTATGGTGCTCAGGGATCGCTGAGGTATTCCTGATCTAAGAATGATATAAAACCTTTAATTCAACACAAAGTGGCTTTAAGCAAGAAATTACATATATTATTTATTACATCAAACTAATATCAGCCAGCTGATTGGCTAATTCCAGCTGGAATGAGCTGGTTGCAGTAAACCCGAGACTCATCAAAAGTTGCAGGTGCGTCAGCACTGCATGGCTGGCAGCGCTGCAGGCTTTGTGGCTAATACAAGCCGTTATAGTCTATGCTATGGTTTACACCATACGTGTCATGGCACATCGGACAATTAATGCACCAATAAGCTATTTGAAAATGTTAACATCAATCAAACATCATAGAATTTTTAAAAGCAACATACTTTTATTCAGGTTCTTATTTTTATTCTCAGTCCTGAGACGGAGCTGGGGGCTGCATCTGTGTGTGTGTGTGTGTGTGTGTGTGTGTGTGTGTGTGTGAGGGGTTAAAAGTATAACCTTAAACCAGGGGTGTCAAACATATGGCCCGCGGGCCGGAATTCAGCCCGCAAACGGGTTAACTCCGGCCCGCGAGATGGTTGTGTAAACTTTATTTTCATACTTTACAATGCAGAGTGAAAATAAACTTATCTATGTGAGCAAGTTTTCTCTGTAACGAGTATAAATAAAACAAAGCTGCGCTCAAGGCTCCCACAAGAACTTGAATCACATCCTGAAGTTGGCCGCCACTCAGGATGTGACTTCTGATATTGATGTGCTGGTGAAAGCTAAAAGATGTAAAGTAAAATGAGTCCAATATACTTTAAGTGCTGCATGAAACAGATCTAGCCATGTGATCTGTAAGCTCTTAGAATCACTAAGGAATGTTTTTTTTATTTTCATTTTTTCAAATTTTCAAGTACACTTCAGGTGTTGTACTTGTACTACACTGTCCTCAGGCTCCAGCCTTGTTTTATATTGATTGTATTAAAACAAAGAAAACAATCTGAAGTTGTTTTTAATTTACTTTTACCGGTCCGGCCCACTTGGGACTAGATTTCCCTCAATGTGGCCCCTGAGCTAAAATGAGTTTGACACCCCTGCCTTAAACTGACCATTTTGCTATCTCACCAGCTACGCTGCCAGTTTCCTCATCTCCAAATTGTGCGTACACCAGTGTCAGATTTTGCTTAAGGTTCTGCACACTTTCCCTCCACATTTTATTTTTTTAAATCACAAAGTTTGCATAGGAAAGGACTTATGCAAGTTTTGTGTGGGCAAGATTTATCAATGAAGCCTTGGTCTCCAATGCTGTCATCTATCATTTCCTCCTGTCTTTAGCTTAAATTAGGTATTAGCATAACTTCTATTGTTGTGGCTTTTGTCATTTGTTGAACCTTGTGGGCCACCGTAATTATTGTTATACCCTTCAAGTTTCTGTATGTTTTATATTATTTAAATATTTTTTACCTGCTACAGTAGTTTTATGTTCTTACAGTCGTCCATGGCATTAAAATAAAAAATACAAAGTCTGCTATTAATACTACTGCTACTACTAATAATAATATGATTTGAATTTGAATAAGTCTTGCAGGTTAAAATGTTTATGTTTTCTTCATACCTCAGTAAAAAAAGATACAAATAGATAAAACTGATCATTGCACATATAAAATGTGTTCTTACGATGTGCAGCTGAAGGAAGTCTCCAAGACCATGCGTGCTCTCCACCCGCACCAAAATGGCTTCCTTCTGCTGAGTGCTGAAGCCCACCGCTAACCGGTCGGCCCGGGTGCTCGGCCGCTCGTTGGGGGCCCAGGTGAACGTGATGAGGGCCCCACCTTTCCCAAAGATATATGTGGTCCCAGCTAGGAATGAAAATGAGAAGACAGACAGAAACATAAAATATTAATTGTTTACAGGGTTAAATTAGGGTTCTCACACCTTTATTTGTTTTCCCCATTTCATGTGTCCTATTTGTTTATGGAAACATATGTTACATTTTAATGATATTACTGTTAAGGTAACAAAAATATAAATTAATCTTTTTCAGTGATTTTGAATTAAACAGGAAGTACATTTATTTATATACCACACGACTGTAAACCCGGACCTCCACATAATAGCATCAATTTGTGTAGAAGAAGTTTAAATAATTATGATTTCTATTTTATGAATAAACTAAAAGAGTTTTTTTTAAAGTGGGCTCATTTCTTTTATGAAGATAGTGACAGACACTGTCTTTTCATTTAAATTTCAACTATTTTAGCTGCAGTTTAATAAAAACAATTCAAATTAAACCTTTTCTGACAGATCTCTAAATTTGAATCAATATGCACCATGCAGCGTAATAAATGAAGTGATCTAATTGATTTAAGCCGACTTAAATCCCTCCACCTGCTTCATCAGTGTGAGGCAGGTGCAAAGCAAAGCACCTGCTGCCTGAACTTTTATGCCTTAAGTTATTCCTCTCCACTCAGACTGATTCTGGATAAATGAGGCGTATTCATGTTAATTTGTCATTTACAAGTCTAGTTCGAATTGCAAAAACACCTGAGAAAAAAAAATCTATGCAGGCATGAGCTTGAATCGGCTGGCTTGTAAATCAGACACCTCTGTGTGATGTGAAGTGTTTTATTCCTCAGACTGTTCATTAAAAAGGCTGCAAAATTCCTCCGTTTGTGTGAGGGGTATCATAAGCAGAACCGTAATCCATCTTTATAACCCACACAAATTTAAATCATGTCAAAGTTTGGACTTAATGTGTGCTGATTGCAAATGAGGAAAAATCCTCCTACAATCTTCATAAACATGTTGGTAGAAACAACAATTTCCTGCATGACTCAAAAACTAGATTTATGGCAGACGTCTTCCTGCACCTCAAACCCCCGTGTAAAAAAAATCTTTGTTTTCTGCTCAGCCTAACAAAGGTTTCCAGTTGACAAAATGACCTGCTAGTGGGTTCTTATTTTAACATTAAACACATCATCAGACGGGTTCGACAACGCCTTCTGACTTTGAATTTAATTGAAAGGGTGACTTCTCTGAAAGTCAATTATTTCTTACTGCGTTAATCTTAATTAATGCCTTGGATTTGCAGTCAAATGTGAGCCAGTAACATTAGTCACATCAAAGAGTCTGGACGAGTGGGTTTATTAGTTTCCTCCTTTTAGTAAATGTTATCTACATCTGGCCTCTTAGTCTGTCCTCTTTCCCCCTCAATTAAATTACTTTTCTTTCACAGCATAATGACAGGAACCTCGCTGCTTCTGGCACAGACGGACTCTGGGATGCATTTCCAAATATTCAATATGTCTGTCTTAAACACAGCAAATAGGTAGAAGATAAAAACTCACACAGCTACTAATCTATTTCACTACGCTGATGAGGTGTCCTGGAAGGGTGTCACGAGCTGAAATTTGACATTAGATAGTATTTTAGGTCTCTACTCGTGTTCAGAGACTTGCTCTGTTTTGCTCACACATCCACTTGTCTCTAAATCAGTTTGAACATTTAGGTTAACTACACAACAGGAGGAGTATCTTGTAGATCAAAGAAGCACTTTTAGGGCCGGGATATACTTGCCGTTTAACCTCGCGTTGGCACACGTTCACATACTTGCTGCTACACAGCACAGCACTGCAGGGATGAGCGAGTACACCACTATCTGTATCTGTACCTGTATCTGTATTCAACCATCTAAATTATCTGTATCTGTCTCAGAGTGGGCGTGGCCTAACCTGGAAGTGGGCGTAGTTTAACCAAAAGTGGGTGTGGTTTACATTAATACATTATTTTAAGTCTGAGATTGATATGGATTGATCAGAAGTTGCTATGCATATTGTTTATTTGAAAACTATTTACAGAGCAGCCTCGGAATTGAGATTAAATGTTTTTGATCACAATAGTAGAGGAACTATTACAGAACAAGTTTTTCAATAAAATCAGAACATTAATATTTAAGTGCATGAATTAATACATACATACAGAGAGAGAGAGAGAGAGAGAGAGAGAGAGAGAGAGAGAGAGAGAGAGAGAGAGAGAGAGAGAGAGAGAGAGAGAGAGAGAGAGAGAGAGAGAGAGAGAACCCGAGCGTAGCGGATGCAGCACAAGCCGTTTTCAGCTGTCTTGTCAAATGCACCACGTATGTTATGAAAAAGTAACTTTAAATATTAAACCAAAATGAGGCGAGCTGAAGAAAACCTAGGGAGTTCTGAAGAAACGTGAGCAACAGCAAAGCAAACACAGAGAGATCCGTTACTGTCTGTGTGTGCATGGATGGGTGGATGGACTGAGCTCCCGGCTGCAGTTTTGTGTGTAGAGAGGGGTGGGTGCACTATGTGACTGGTCAATCACACAGCGTGAAGACAGTCAGTTACCCAATAAGAATATTCCTTCAGCACAATTACAGATATTTACGAGTTTTACTCATTTCATGCTCGTATTCGTCAAAAATACTTTATCCGTACCGGATACCCATTTGAAACGAGTATCCGGCTCATCCCTACTGCGCTGCATGATGTGTTAGAATGTTCCACAAGACTCTGACCAGATAGAGAGCCAGGTTTGTGGGTACAACCAAAACAAACATGGCGCCAACAAAAGAGCTCACTAACTGGTTAATTTTGAGATCAAGACAGCAGCGGCATCAAAGATGGTGTGAAATAGCTCTAAACCAGAGACGGAGTCCCCATGGTGAGTGTGCCTTGCTCGCTTTGTCAACTTCACCTACTGGTTACTCGTATATTGCAGCGTTCGGACGCATCATGTTAATTTCAGGAGATGCGCAAAAATGACGCTTCAAATCGACCAAGTTATGCGTGGCAGCCATTTAAAACACGCATTTATGTCGTTAAACAGCAAGTATATAATGGCCCTTAGTGACTCAGATCCATGATCATATCTGTCTGTTTTAGAACTGTACGAAATGCACTGATGAGGAAATAATCCCTTTAGTTTGTTTATGCGTTTCTGAAATCATTTACAAATTATGTAGATATTTAAAAATATTCTTGAAATAAACAGTTAAATGGAGTCTGTTTATTTAAAAATAAAATAAAAATGAATATTTCCAAAATGTATTGAACCAAACATCCTACAACTATCCTTTGCTAATGTGTATTATGCAAATGACCACACATTATTCTGAATGACAAAACACTATTACCAGCACAGATTTATGACTGGCGTTGTTTTACAACTATAACTGCTTTCTGATCAGCTGTTAGCTTAGGGTGCTAATCATAGCTACTTCTTCAAACTGAGGTTGTTCACTGAGCTAGCTTAATTTAGTTAGCTGCTGTTAATCTTTCAATAAGATCTGAACTATTCATTTGTAAATGCATAAAATGGTTACGACTGCTGAACTAAATGCTTGTGCTGAATAAAAAATACTAATATGCTTTCTGTGCACTGAGACGGTTAGCTCATATTTTCCCTCTGAACCAATTCCTTACTGGTTGCACAGAAAGCCTTGGCCAAATTAATTTTCATTCTGCTGAGATTCTTCGGTTTAGTTCCAGCAACAGAACTATTAGTCTGCAGCCGCCTGAATAATCAAATAAGTATGTAGCAGCTAGCGCTCTTTAGGCTGAAATCCTCCTTGTTGTTCAACAGCAGCAGCTAGCTAAGCTGTGGGGAAAAGTCAGTGTTAGATATCGTCTCCTGGACCCAGAGGTCTAAAGCCTCAGAAGATTCTTGTATGAACTTAAAAATCATTTTTTGACCTCAACCAACAAAGCTCGAATTAAAGTTATTCCAACTCATGTTAAACATTTCACAAACAATTCTTTTTTCTACTGAAGATGAACTACATCGCACTTCAGCACAGTGAGAAAAGAAGGCTTCACGTGAGAATACATTACTGCTCATCCAGCTAAAACACAGCTGTCAATAATCTTTTCTTTTCTGCACATCAGCCATCAGGGCTATTGACCTAGTTACTGAGTTTGATAGTTTGTATTATTTTGGATTTGAAACCAAACATGCAGGGATCTGCAACTCACATCCACGGGGCCACATGTTGATGTTTTATTTATGGACCAGGGCCAGGGCTCAGCTAAATTGGGGTGTTGTTTCCATGAAGTTTGGTTTACTAACCACATTATCTGGGGACCGTAGTTCGACCAGGAGCAATTTGGTTGAACTTGAGTCAGACTAAGGCAATAATTCAGTTTTAATGAGACCGCACGTTAAATGGTAAAATGCCTGTATTTGTATAGTGCCTTCTTAGAGTTCTATACAACCCCCATGTTGCGGGAGCACATCACTCCGGTTTTAGAATCACTGCACTGGCTCCCCTTACGTTTCAGGATCGATTTTAAGACACTTTTAATGGTTTTTAAGTGTCTTAATGGTCTTGGCCTGTCTTATCTCTCGCCACTGCTTTTACCATATGAACCCTCGCGGTCCTCCTCTGGCAGCCGTCTCCTTGTCATTCCTAAAGTCAGGACACACACTCACGACGAGGCGTCTTTTAGTTATTACGGCCCTCGCCTGTGGAACGGGCTGCCGAAGGATCTCACGGTCGCAGAGAACGTTCATGTGTTTAAGATCAGGCTCAAGACCCACCTTTTTAGTTTAGCTTTCAACTGATTACTTTTTATGGCATTGCTTGTTTTACTTATTTAATTATTTTTAATTACTGTTGTGTTACACATTTATGTTGTTTTATTTGTTTAATCACATTTTAATGGATATTTTACATCATACATTTTAGATATTTTCCATAGTAGCTCTTGTACATGCTTTTTTACATGTCACATATTTTAATCCTTCCAGTGTTTCCTCTGTGGAGCCCTCTGCCTCGGGACCGGTGGTCGTTGGCGGAGGCTGGGGCACTCCTAGGGTTGTGCCCAGGTAGTGGTGT